GCTCGTGACCGAAGGGTTGCGGGTTCGAGTCACGTCACGGCACTGCGTTGTATCGTTGAACAAGATAATTTACTCCGCTTTTTCCAGTCTACTCAACTGTAAATGAGTACGTGTTTGGGCAGTGTTGTCTTGTTGAATGATAGATGTGAGCGCCTAAATGGCAGCACCGGCTGTACGCTATCCAGGGAAATTAGAAAGATATTGACTGGTTGCAAAGGCCCACGGGTGATAATTTTATATTTTACATACATGTATATCCCTTGTTTATGTCGTCTGGATGTTCTGATTATTAGACACAATCTGTTTCGCTTACCTCTTTCGACACGTGCAAATGATGATTATGACGACTAGTATGACCACGAGGAATCCCCCTGCTCCGGCTCCAATCGCTATATACATCCCTGCAAAACATAAATACCTCTGTCAGGGAACCCATGTGCTGCCCTCTTTGATCAAAGTACTCAGATATATTAACGGTAACACTGACCTTTGAAAATCGAACCTTGGCAAGTGAGCGTTGTATAAATATGAAGCGTTATCAGCCCACTTGAGCTATTGTTCGGAAAACATTATGTTACGTATGGTTAAAATAGTTAACAGCGACCTTGAACTTAGACCTCGCGTTATAACAAAGCAATCGCAAGCAAGAACTGCCGTAAGAAGCAGTACATGAAGTTTGGGTCTTAACAACCCATGGAAACTTGGGCTGTTGAGTGAAAACCAATTTTCTTTTTATGGCTTCAGTAGCACTGACCTTTGACCCTCGGACCTGAAAAGTAATACGAAGCACACAATTTTCAAAAGGGAACATTGAGCGATTTATTTTAGCTTGATAGGCCAAACGGCACTGTAATTAATGCACTGAAGCCAATTATGTATTCATAGTAACAGGACTTTGACCTAAAGACTAGCTTGATTTCAATATTTCCTCTGATCTTTTTCGGAGAGATGAAACATTAATATTGTGTATTTTAAACACAATTTTATGCAATAGAAAATATTTATTTTAGACAACCAGAGAGTCTGAAAGAGGATCTATTAAAAGACGCGTGAAAGTGCATGCAGCATTAAGGTTCTCATTTTTTAATATTGTAAGGTGTTGTCTACAAGGAGCATGTATTTGTTTCAAGTGTATCGGAATTTTGGTGCAATATCTTACTTGGATAAGGGTTTTGGTAAACTAATTTATCATCCGTCCATTTATTTTAGATCACTGCCTTCCAAATTTTAATGTTATGTAGTATTTATACTTGATTTAGCTACTCACACTTTATATTTTTTATATCATATTTGTGTTTCCCTCCCTCTACAATAATGAAATACAATAACTGGCCTGTATTGAAATGCACAACTAGCGTAGATAGAGTTGATCACATATGCTCCTTACTTTCATCTGTGCTGTTTACTACCACCATTTTCTGGCCTGTATTTGACATGGTTGTAGTGGTATCACCATCTGTTGCATCAGTAGACGACTGATCTGCTTCCGTTTCCGTTATGTTACATAACGTATACGAAGTTGTGTTATCATCTGTGAAGTTTCCTGTTTGTTGAAAATCATATTGCTCATTATAAACCTTTGTGAAATAATTCATATGACATACCTGGACATAGTTTGCTTGTACATTTGGATTCCGTTTGCTCGAACCTTTAATACCAATGCAATGTCTGGGGTGATAAATTATTCAGTTGTTGATGATAACATTAATCCTTAAATGTAGGGTCCACAACGACTTATCGACATTTTATAATGCCAGTCAACGACTTTTTTTGAAGACATCGCCCTTAATGTCGCTGTGTACCACTTGAATATATAAAGTATAAGATTAATATATCCAAGTTTTATATATGAAATCCGATGTTTAAAATGAATCTTTTAATATGACTTATCAGGAGGTTGAATGTTTGGGTGACTATGCCATCCGTTAGAGGTCTAACGAAATCACTTAACCTGTTATCATTTTCTAAATAGTTAACGTTGTGCATTAATGGTATTATGCGAGAAATAAATAAACCCTTTTATTTACTTTCATGATAATTGTGTCTGTACATCTTTTTACCGCATTATATTTTGTCTATATCGTTAAGCGAGGAATAAGGGTTTGGAGATGTTATGATATTACAGTTATACGAATACACAGACTGAAGGTGAATCGAATATTTGCAAATATGACAAATATTACCATACATATATATTCAGTCCATGGATTGATAACTACACATGGTATAACACTATGTATTTATCAGAAGATATTCCATGGTTTCCACAATTGTTTTACCCCCTGACAAAAAAAATATTGCAAATTCTTGTTTTGTAACAAAATCATGTTTTCCCATGGCAAGGAAGTGTGTCATGGACAACAGACTCTACAATAAGTGTTACCTACAATGCACTTGACTGATCTCTGGAACCATTGCGTCAAAAGATTGATATCTATAACAAGACATACCTATTTTACAAATGAATCCATGCTCTTGAGAACCGCATTGCCCTTGTTCAATAACATTCTGCTTAACATATGAACACTGTCTTAGGTTGTGAATATTGCGTATCTTCAAACCATTCAAAACTGAAATAAAAGCATACAAGGTGCATAAAACATACATATTTTACAATACACATAACCAAGACAACCGGTTCATAGAAAATTGGGGACCGCTGTGGTTATTTTAAGCATCAATATCATGATCTGGTTTGATAAACTTCTTAATGCACTATCGGTTTTTGCTATGTGTATCAAGACCATGGTTATAGGGTGCATGTACACAAGACGCATCTACCTAAGAACAGTAAGATAACGATTTACTTGTGGCGTTTGCAAGAAGAGTAAATACACCGATGCTTAAATGTATATTAATGGAGTGGCAGCTGAAGAATTTTTGATAAAATTGCTGACATAACTGTTGACACAAAAATACACCTTGTTTGATTAAGACACGTTACCAAAATTAGTGCACGGCCAGAAAATGCACCAAAAATACTTTCAGACGAAATTTGTTTCTTTTCCTCTGATTGTGTGTGACTTTTACAATGAAGATATGTATCGACATTACCACCAAATAGTGTTGTTTTTAGCGATATTCTCAACGTACACGAAGATATTATATTAAAAATGCCAGAACACCAGAAAACGAAGTACGTCGACAACCTTTTGGAGGATTTTGAAAGGGGGTAATTATAGGCGTGTTTAAAAGTTGGTTTCTGGTTCTCACGACCAGATAATATATCAGTGTATAAACATGTATGACAATTGTAGTTCGGTATTGTATTTCTATAAACAAAACATTTCAATCTGCACATCGACTTATAGTAATAAATGAGGGATTCATAACTGGGAATATGGTTATGGTACTCCGAGTTTAGCGTTATATTTTAACTGTTCTAAAACATAAACCACCATGGCAGTTTGGTCAAGAATAAGAAAAACATCCAGATACATAATATGATCTTGAATTTTAAATATAATTTTTAAAAACACTGTCTGAATTGTATCAATTTCGATGGCATCAGGTTACAGTGCTGCATTTGAATTTTGTTGTCCAAACCATAATCAAGAATAGAACCACAACACTAATATATTGACAAAATCAAAAGGAACTCATTTTATACTAATATCATACAACAACGCAACACTCTGGGTAAAGGAAAACTCACGCAGCATATCAAAAAGATATTGCAACATAATTATCATAAACAACGTTTAACATTCAGTGCATTCGGTACATTCTGTTTGAAAGGGGGAAAACCAAGATCAACAACATTGCAGATACCAAAGCCACTAAATGATGTAAGTAAAATAGTTTTCCATGGATATAACGTTATAATCAATGGATACATTATGTACTACTATATGTATACACTACACACTATGTCCATTGAAACAACGTTATAATCAATGGATACATTATGTACTACTGTATATATACA